GGAGCTTGTCTTGGTGCCCTCTCCATCCCTCTGTCCCTCTGTCCCTCTGTCCCTCTGTCCCTCTGTCCACAGTGCACGAGTCTCACATGCGTACTCTCCATTTCTCTAGCTTTGTGTAGGAGGGCAGCGGGGAGACCAGCATTGTGCTCGCTTCGGCAGCACATACAGTGAAACCAGGAGACCAGCATTTGCTGAGTCTGCAAGCTCCAGGCACTCTCCTGGGAGTGTTAACACCCAGTGACCCTGCCAAGGTGTTGGTAGCAGGGGCTGCCTCCCGTGATCTGATAAGAGGCTTAGGATAGGATCTGCCCAGAAGTTGTATTTTAACACTGGGAAGTGAATAAGAATCAAATCTTTGTGATTCACTCTTTTTTTTTTTTTTTGACAGGCAGAGTGGACAGTGAGAGAGAGAGAGACAGAGAGAAAGGTCTTCCTTTGCCGTTGGTTCACCCTCCAATGGCCGCTGTGGCCGGCACGCTGCGGCCGGCGCACCACGCTGATCCGATGGCAGGAGCCAGGAGCCAGGTGCTTCTCCTGGTCTCCCATGGGGTGCAGGGCCCAAGCACTTGGGCCATCCTCCACTGCACTCCCTGGCCACAGCAGAGAGCTGGCCTGGAAGAGGGGCAACCAGGACAGAATCCGGCGCCCCGACCGGGACTAGAACCCGGTGTGCCAGCGCCGCTAGGCGGAGGATTAGCCTAGTGAGCCGTGGCGCCGGCCCTGTGATTCACTCTTGCATTCCACTATTTGTTCAACAGTCGCTAGTTAAACATCTACTGAGTGGCTATCCTGCCAGCCTTGGGGGGTATGGAGAGCAGCTCACGCAGCCAGCCACACAAGGAGCTCTCAATTAATGCCAGACTCCCAGGTAGACTGTGGGCGTCCAGAGCTGGCCCAGCAGGCCCAGCATATCTTGGCTACACCAGCTAGTAACCATGCAACTTTTGGGCAAGTTGTGTAATTTTTCAAAATCTTAGGTTCCTCTTCAGTTAGATGGGGGAAAATCATGCTGCATACCCCACGAGGGATGCTGTAAAGAACTCCATGTATAAGGGATAAGTAACACTTAACTGAGACCTGATCCAGAGTTTGACTCAAGTACCAGAGACCTCAACAGTCTTAGGACCTGAAGCAAATCAACAGCCTCTGGAAAATGCTGTGGGAAGCCAGCAGGGGGTGCTAGACCACATTAGGTGTATTTGGGGAGCTGTGACAATCCAGTGATGCAGGGACCCAGGAGCCTGCGCAACAGGTGACATGGGAGACGATGAGCTTCCAGCCTGAGATGATGTGAGTTTGAAAGACCCCCTGTGCTATAGGAGGGATCCTGGACTTCATCACCAGAAGCCTCGTTCAAAATAGGGATTACTTTTTATCTTACAAATGCTCCATATCAGCAATTGTAAAGCAAGCCATGTAATGTGTTCTCGTTGCAACAAGTGAAATGATGCAGAATAAATTGTCAACAATCTCTCTCCTCCCTGGTGCCTTCCAGTTCCATCCCAAGGCCAAGTCAAAGCATGGCCAAGGTCTTTCTCTACACTGGGGCTAGCGGGGACAAGTGCTTTGAGAAATTCTGTCCTACAGGGCAGACCCTGCTCCAGCAGTGACTGGCAGCCAGTCTGCTGTTCCCAGACAAGGGCTCTGCCAAAGACCCCCACCCCTGCCGCCATCACATCATCCCTGTGACCAACTTCTCATGTTGGACTTCAAGGAAATCCCAAGGTCAGCGCTTGTTGGGTGGAGTCCCATAAATGTGTCCTAGAAAGAGCATTTTAGTTGCTGTAGAGTGAGCCCTTCTATATGCATCACCAGCTAGCATGTTAATGCAGAGGTGTGATATTATATGACCTGAAGGAAGGCAATGAATGTGGGCCATCGGTGGCTATGGCAGTTATGGGAAATAGCACAAGGTGGATCTTCATCCATGAGACATCGACATGATTTGACTTGATTTGATAGAATTCTTGAAATTGGCCCTCCAGAGGTCTGGCACAATCAGCAAAAAAGTCCCTGATTTGTGGCTGTTGTGAGTTCAGGATAAATTCTTACCCATTCCAAGGAAAGATCAAGTCCCTTAGTGAAGCTGTGGTAAACACAGAGGATTGATATCCAGTCAGCACCACGTGACCCTGGAGATGATCCGTAGCCCACAGCAGGTGAGGCCAAGAGGCAGGTGCCGAGGATGGGAAGCCAGGGCTTGGATTTCCACTCTGGAAGTGCAGGTGCTGGGACTGGCACAGCAGTGCTGCAGATGACACCACCACATGCAGTGTTAGCATCCCCTACTGCGCACCTGCTGAGGCGCCAGCTACTCCCCTTCCCTTCCAGATCCCCACTCGCGCACCTGAGAAGTCAGTGGAAGATGGTTCCTGCATCCCTGGAAGACCAGGCTCCTGGCTTCAGCCTGACCCAGGCATGGCCATTGTGGCCATTTGGGGAGTGAAGCAAGGGATGGAAGATTCTGTGTGTATGTGTGTGTGTGTCTTCCTCTCTCTGTTTTTCAAATGAATATATCTTTAAAAAAAGAGAATGCATATACAGCAAGCTTTAAAAGTGGTTTAAGTGTTTATAACAAAATTGACATTTTTTTAATTTAAAAAGATTTATTCACTTATTTGAAAGACACAGAGAGAGAGAGATTCTATCCATTGGTTCACTCCCCAAATGGTTGCAGTGGTCAGAGCTGGGCCAGGCCAAAGCCAAGAGCCAGGAGATTCATTTGGGTCCCCTAGATGGGTGCAGGGGCCCAAGCACTTGGGTCATCTTCTGCAGCTTTCCCAGGCACATTAGCAGGGAGCTGGATTTGAAGCAGAGCAGTTGGGTTTTGAAATGGGGCTCACATGGGATGCTGGCATCACAGGCAGCAGCTTAAGCCACTGCATCAAAATGCCAACCCCTATTTTAAAAATTTATTTATTTTTATTTGAGACACACACACACACACACACACACACCGGCAGTGGTAGGGGCTTTCGTCTACTGATTTACACTCCAAAGGCCTGGGAGGGCTGTGATTGGGCCAGGGCCAGCGCAAGCAGTCAGGAACGCAGAGCAGGTCTCCCCCAAGGGTGGTAGGCACCCGATTACTTGGGACATCATTGCTGCCTCCCAGAGCTACATTGGCAGGAAGGTGGAGTCAGAACCCAGAGGTGCATACGGAAATCAGGGACTGATGTGGGATTCGGGCATCTTAACCACCCGCCCAAAGGCTTGCTCCACAGTCAGCTCTCAACACCGTCCTGGGGATTCTTATCTGAGAGGAAGGCACGCAGCACATGGCATCAATTTGGTCATCAGCACACCACGCGTTTGGCTGCGTGATGGCGGTCCGGTAAGTTTATAACAGAGCCACAGACTGCTTGTGCCCAGTGCTGGCGTCACGGCGAGGTGGTGGTGCAGTGCACGCCTGACATGTGTGCAGTGACACTGGAGTAAGCACACAAGAGACTCGCACGCACAATTAAGGACGATGCAGAGTGCTTGATACTGATGTTACTGGCTTATGTAGACTAGGCTTTTTATGATTATTTCAGAGTGTGTTCCTACTTAGAAAAATATAAAGTTAGCAGTCAAACAGCCTAAGGTGACTCCTACAGGAGTCAGTTGAAGCAGGCATTGCTATCATGGAGGGGCGTGTGTGTGACAGTCCCGTTTCTGGTGCTGTCCCTGGAGAGCTTCCTGTGGTTCAGGATGTGGAGGGGGAAGACAGGACAGTGACGGTTCTGATCTTCTGTAGGTCTAGGCTACTGTGTGTGTGCTGTGTTGTGTAGAAACCCACCTAGGTTTGTATAACTTCCCTCTGTTGCACACTGCAATGAAACTTCCTAGCGACGCACTTCTCAGAATGCACCCTAGATTAAGAGGCCTGTGAGCACGGCAGTGTGACAGTGTGGTGCCCAGACTATACTTGTGGCTGGTGCATCCTGTAGGAGAACGTTTGCGAGAGTGTCGCTGGTCTTGTGGGAAACTAGAAGCAGAAGGCCACCGCACGTAGCCTTGTCACAACACATCTCACCGCACAGACGAGGACCTGCAAAGGCGTGGGACAAACGCCATAGGCTGCGCGTGATGTGAGGAATCTGAAGGGCGGAGCTAATTCTTCCTCTCAACCTTAGCGAGTTCCTGTTCATGAGGTCAAGCATCCTGTCCCCACGGAGGCCCCGGCAGGGCCAGATGGCAGCAGCCACGAGGAACCGCGTGCTGAGGCTTGGCCACCAAGGGGAGAGGAGGGTGTCTCTAAGCAGTAGCTCCAGCAGAGAGCAGCTCCACCCTGAGAGTGAGAGGCTTCGGGGAGTGAAGGGTGACAGGAGCTCCGGGATCCCTGGAAGAGCCAAGGTGGAGGCGGCTGAGACAGGACGTGTGGGACCGGCAGGTGCAGCTGCTGGCAAAGCCATGGTGGCGCTGGGGCCGTTTCATCAGCACACACTGCCTGCCCTCTGAGCTCCCACTCAAGTGGCCAGAGGCCAGGCTGGCCAGCAGGCCTGTCTCCGTCTGTCGAGGCTGCTCTAACCAAGTACCACGGGCGGGGTGACTGATTTCTCACTGGAAATCCAAGTCAGTTGCAGCCTGGTGGAGCTCTGCTGGGGGCCTCTTCTCCCTGGTTCCCCTAGGACAGAGGAGGGAATGGGGGTCCTCTGGGCTGTGGGTTATGAGGCACTGACCCGTCACCAGTGCTCCGCCCTGAAGACCGAGGCCCTGCCCGTCCTCACGCACCTCTGGATCCCGCTGTACTTAACACATAGGCGTGGACATTCTGAGCGTGGCCATCAGGAAGGCAGGAGGATGCGGCTCAGAGAAGCCAGCTGCTTGGGGCCTCTGGGAGTCGTGGAGGGGCAGAGAATGCCTGGGACCTGTGACAGCCCGCGGATCTCACCCGCGATCTTAGCCAAAAGGCCGAGACACGATAGCCAGTGCTTTGTTGAGTGTGCATGGTCATTCCACCTCGGAACGCGATAGCCAGTGCTTTGTTGAGTGTGCATGGTCATTCCACCTCGGAACGCGATAGCCAGTGCTTTGTTGAGTGTGCCTGGTCATTCCACCTCGGAAGACTTTTGAAGACGCCTTCACGCACGCCTTCACTGGCCCTCACGTGAGGATATCATGGATGCAGATGGCAAACACGTCACTTACTAGGCTCACTGAGAAGTCTGAATACATTTAGTCTGTAACACTCTACCCACCTCTCGCTTATGTGTTTTTTTTTTTTTATTTTGACAGACAGAGCGGACAGTGAGAGAGACAGAGAGAAAGGTCTTCCTTCCGTTGGTTCACCCAACAATGGCCGCCGCGGCCGGCGCACCGCGCTGATCCAAAGCCAGGAGCCAGGTGCTTCTCCTGGTCTCCCATGGGGTGCAGGGCCCAAGCACTTGGGCCATCCTCCACTGCACTTCCAGGCCATGCAGAGAGTTGGCCTGGAAGAGGGGCAACCGGGACAGAATCCGGCGCCCCGACTGGGACTAGAACCTGGTGTGCCAGTGCCGCAAGGTGGAGGATTAGCCTAGTGAGCCGCGGCGCCGGCCTCGCTTACGCATTTCTAAAACAGCTCTATGACAGGTCTCCAAAAGGCTCATGGGAATAGGGATCGAAAGGTAAAATGAGAGAGATGGTTCGTGCCTGCCTCCTGCCCCAGAGGACTTGGGTTCGATCCCATCTTGGGCTCCTGACTCCAACTTCCGCTCAGCAGATGCTGGGAGGCCGCACAGACAGTGAAGCCACCGGGTTCCTGCCAGCCACGTGGGAGATGTGGATTGCATTCCCTACTCCTCGCGTTCACCTGGTCCAGCTCCAGCTGCTGTGGGCATCTGGGGAGTGAAACAGAGGACACTGGCTCCTTCTCGCTCTTTCTCTAAGTAAGTAAAAGTCGAAAAAAAATGAAATGTAAACTTTATTTCTCACTAGAAACTCCATCAAGTTTGACATATCTTTGTAAGACAAGATAGCAGCCCTTTTTCCCATGCCTGGAAATTTAACCACATCGATGCAATCCACTTTACATCATTAACTTGAGAAAAATCTGTGCCATTTAATTTTTTTTAAGATTAGGAACCAAAGAGAAGTCAGAAGGAGCCAAGGCAGCACCCCAGGTGGATGGCTAATGATTTTCCGTCAGAACCGCCCCTGTGTGATGAGAAGAGTGAGCAGGTGCACTGTTACGATGGAGAAGGACTCTCTGAGAAGCTGTCCCAGGTGTTTCTCTTTTTTTTATTTTATTATTTTTATTTGATAGGTAGAGTTATAGTCAGTGAGAGAGAGACAGAGAGAAAGGTCTTCCTTCTGTTGGTTCATCCCTCAAATGACCTCCACGGCCGGCACTGTGCCAATCCAAAGCCAGGAGCCAGGTGCTTCCTCCTGGTCTCCCATGGGGTGCAGGGCCCAAGAACCTGGGCCATCCTCCAGTGCCCTCCCGGGCCACAGCAGAGAGCTGGACTGGAAGAGGAGCAACCGGGACTAGAACCCAGTGCCATATGGGATGCCGGTGCCGCAGGCGGCGAATTAACCAAGTGAGTCACAGCGCCGGCCCCCAGGCGTTTTTCTACCAAAGCTGTGGTTTGCTTTCTCGAAACGCTCCCAATAAGCAGATGTGATCGTTCTTTGGTCCTCCAGGAGGCTAACACACAAAACGCCCTGAGCATAGCAAAAAGCAAAAACAAAACAAAACTTTTGCCATGACCTTTGCTCTTGACCTGTCTGCTCCTGGTTTGGCTTGACCACGTCCACCCCTTGACAGCCACTGCTCTGTCTTCAGCACTGCCGTGGGAAAGCCAGGTCCCAGCCCCTGCCAGGTCTTCCCAGAAGTGCCTCTAGGTCGTGATCCCACGTGGGCAGAAGCTCCCGGTCTGCACGTGCTCTGGGAGCCGTGGTTCGGGTGCCCGTGGTGGGGAAAGTTTCTCCCCTTCAACTCTCCGCTCAGAGCTGTGTAAGCTGAGTCAGTTTAGGTGTGTGGTGTTGGGCATTACTTTCACTGCTGGTTGTCGGTTCCCCTCAGTGAGGGCATGAACAACAATCGTGTTCCTCGGTTGATGGGGATGGTGTGCTGCCACGGGCTTCCTCGTCAACACTGTCTCGTTCATTCTTCAAACGGGGTCTCATCTGTACGCTGCTTATTTGCCTGAACATTGGTCTTAGAACCTCTTTGTAAAGCATCAGCGGTTTCCCCTTTCTTCCAGCCGAGCTTCATCATAAATTCGAGGTTTGCTCGTGCTCCGATTACAGCAGAAATCACACGGATGTCTAGTCCTTCTTACCGCCTAAGACGAGGTATTTCCCAGGTGTGTTGGTATGGCTTTATTTTGATGCGAGTGTTTTGAACTATATGCATAACTTTTTCATAGTATGTGTGCTTTGTGAAGACCCCTTGTACAGCAAGGCATTTGACATATTACGCAACTTTCCTATTTAAAAAATATAATTTAATGATTCCATTATATTCACAGTTTTACAACAATCACCAAATCTGATTATAGAGCACTTTGTCACCCCATAAGGAATTCTTTGTCTTTTGTAAGCCAATTTCCTGTCTTCGTTTACTCTCCTGTCCCTGCCTAACCATCTATTTACTTTTTCCTGCTACACTTTCACCTACACCAGTCCCATTTTAGTCTGTGGGATACATTCCAGACTCCCACTGGATGCCTGAGCTACAGATTGCACCAACCTTATATATACTGTGTGTTCCACACATCCACACAAAGCCTTAATAAATGATCTACAAGGCACAGAGGCTGACAATAACTAACAATAAAACAGAACAATTATAACAATAAGCCATCATAAAAGTTATATGAATATGATCCCTCTCTCTCATAATATTGTATTGAACTTCCACCTTTTCACTGGGAAGAAGCAGTGTGAACACACTGTGGCTCCGCAGCAGTTGATCTGATGACCAAGTGGGTAAGTGACTGGTGGCAGGTGGGGAGCAACTCGGACTAGACTGTTACTGGAATTAAGACTTATTCTGTGCATCTGCTCTCCCACAATATGGCGCTGGGAGAGGAGCAAACAGCTTCTACCCAGCTGCCCCTCACCAACTTGACAAGCTGTAGGAGCTGCTCCTGATTGGAGGAGAGCAGCGTACTCGGCGTGTGGGCAGCCGAGTTGGGATTGGTGGAAGAGGACTATAAAGGAGGAGAGAGACAACATGCACCGGGAACATCTATCTGAAGGAACACCTGTGCAGCCCCCGAGAGAGCCGGCCGGCGGTGTGCCGCTCCCCCGCGGAAGTGGGGAAAGTGGCAGGGGGAACCGCCCTTCCACGGAGGTGGAAGGGTCGGTAGCCAACCCGGGAAGAACCAGCAGCAAACCCGGGGAGGGCCGAGCAGACAAAAGAACAGCGCAGGGTCCTGTGTCGTTCCTCCACGAAGACGGGGAGCGACAGTGGCAGGTAGTGTAGACAGCATGGGAACCCTGAACAGGGGGCTGGCTCATGTCCTGGGTGGGATGAGATTTTGTCATGCCACTCAGAATGACGTGCAGCTCAAAGCTTAGGGATTTGTTGTTTCTGGACTTTTCTATTGAATATATTTGAACCACAGTTTGGTGCAGGTGAGTGAAATAGTATGAAGCGACACTAGACATGGCGGGTGGGGACGCTGCTGTGTTGTGAACATTTCCTGTAAATGGGGCCAGATAATACGGGCTCCTTAGTATCTGGCTCTTTCACTTATGTACTATTACTCAGATTTATCCGTATTACAGGGTAAACCCGTGCTGCATTCCTCTTTAGTGTGAATATTATTTCATTATTGGGATATACCACATTTTATTTATCTATTCATGATTAGGTAGATAAATCTCACATTTGTGTTTTCTCCAAAGATTCAGCTAGTACAAATATGATGACTAAAATATCAATGTACAAGTTTTTGCCTGGATGCAGGTTTTCATTTCTCCTGGCGGAATTCCTGAGGAGGATTGGTAGGTCACGTGGTGACTGTATAATCTGGAAAACAATTCAGACGTTCCTCAAGAAGTGGAAGGCAGAGTCAGCACCATAGTGGGTGAGGGTTTTCATTTCTTGCCTTTCATGCATTTCGTATATTTGCTGTGGTTGGAATGCTTGTTCCTTCCAAAGCTCACGTTGAAATGTAACTGTCATTGCCGGTGCTGAGGCTCACTTGGCTAATCCTCCTTGCAGTGCGGGCACACCGGGTTCTAGTCCCAGTCAGGGTGCCGGATTCTGTCCCAGTTGCCCCTCTTCCAGGCCAGCTCTCTGCTGTGGCCAGGGAGTGCAGTGGAGGATGGCCCAAGTGCTTGGGTCCTGACCCCATGGGAGACCAGGAGAAGCACCTGGCTCCTGCCTTCGGATCAGTGTGATGCGCCGGCCGCGGCGGCCATTGGAGGGTGAACCAACGGCAAAGGAAGACCTTTCTCTCTGTCTCTCTCTCTCACTGTCCACTCTGCCTGTCAAAAAAAAAAAAAAAAGAAATTTAACTGTCATTATAACAGTATCTGTGTGTGTGTGTGAGTGTGTGTGTGTGTGTGTGTGTTGGGGGGCTTTGAGGCATGATTAGGCAAGGAAGGCTCCACCCACATGGGAGAGATCCCTGCTTTGATGGGTGTCTGGCCCCTCCTGCCTCTTTGCCCTTCTGCCTCCCACTGCGTGATGGTGTGGACGACGTGTAACCAGAAGGCCCCCACCAGAAGCTGGCTCCCCATCTTGGACTCAGCTTCCAGAACTATCAGGAAATGCAATTCTGCCTCTATGAATTCCCCAGTCTTGGGTGTTCTGCTGCAGCAGCACAAATGGACGGAGACAATCTCTCTTCCGGAGGCTTCCTGAAGGGGCGCCTCACTGTGGTTCTATCGGTTTCCCTGGTGCCCGATGGCACTGGAAGTCCTTACATGTTGTTCTTGGCTATATGCGTATTTGAAATGTCCCATCAGATGCTTACTTACCATTTGGGTTTTTTCTCTACTTGAGGTAGAAGATCTGCCAGTGCGTTCTGTCCTGTGTCAGGTGTCCCTGTGTCAGGTGTCCCTGTCAGGTGTCCCTGTGTCAGGTGTCCCTGTGTCGGGTCTCCCTGTGTCAGGTGTCCCTGTGTCAGGTGTCCCTGTGTCAGGTGTCCCTGTGTCGGGTCTCCCTGTGTCAGGTGTCCCTGTGTCGGGTGTCCCTGTGTCGGGTGTCCCTGTGTCAGGTGTCCCTGTGTCAGGTGTCCCTGTGTCAGGTCTCCCTGTGTCAGGTGTCCCTGTGTCGGGTGTCCCTGTGTCAGGTGTCCCTGTGTCAGGTGTCCCTGTGTCGGGTCTCCCTGTGTCAGGTGTCCCTGTGTCGGGTGTCCCTGTGTCAGGTGTCCCTGTGTCAGGTCTCCCTGTGTCGGGTGTCCCTGTGTCAGGTGTCCCTGTGTCGGGTGTCCCTGTGTCAGGTGTCCCTGTGTCAGGTGTCCCTGTGTCAGGTCTCCCTGTGTCAGGTGTCCCTGTGTCAGGTCTCCCACTCTGGGTTTTGCTTTCCCTTTCTTGATGGCAGCTAACACAAAAGCCTTTCATTCCAGTGAAGTCCGACTTCGGTGCTGTTTTTTTCTTTTGTCATGTCTGCGTTTGCTGTGTATCCAAGAAGACTTTGCCTACCGCCAGTCGTAAGAATTTACTCCCATATTTTCACAGTTTTAGCTCAGACACTTACGTCTCTGATCTCTTAGTTCTGTGGGTAGTAGAGGAAGAGGTTCAGCCTCATTCTTCAGCATCCGGTTGATTCCAAGCTGCTGCCTGACACGACTACTCCTTCCCCATTGGATCGTCTTGGCGGCTTGTTGAACACCACCCTGGCTGTGGCGGCGTTATGGATGGTCAGTCCTCTGCACCGATTCACGTGTTTGCTCCACACCACGCCGTCTTAATTGCTGTAGCTGCGTGGTGAGTTTTTCAGCTGGGAATATCTTTATTGCAGGATTGTTTTCACTCTTCTAGAAACTTTCATTTTCTTGTGAATTTTAGAAGCAATTTGTCAGTTTCTGCAAAAAAGCCAACAGTGTTTTGATAGTGAGTGTATGAAATCTGTGTATCAATTTGGAGATATTGCCATCTTGATAACATTCTCTTTGACTATGAATCTGGGTGCTTTTCTATTTCTTTAGGACTTCTTTACATTTTTTGACAATGTTTTATGGTTTGTAGAATATTTTACACCTGTTTTATTACATCTATTCTGAAGTATTTTTGAAGCTGTTATAAATGGAATTGGTTTCTCAGTTTAATTTTTAGGTTGTTCATTGAAACTATGTGGAAATACAATCGAGTTCTGCATATTGGACGTATATAGTCCAACTATGCCAAAATTGCTTCTTAGTTTTAGTGATTTTGTGGTAAGTTCCTCAGGGTTTTCTCTATACTCATATAAGTCAATTTATTTCCAAAAGGACAGTTTCACTTCTGCCTTTCCAATCTGAAGTCTTTTAGCTATTTTCTTGCCCAATTTCCCACACAGATTCTGCACTTTATTAAATAGAAATGGTGAGAGTCAATGTCTTCTCCATGTTCTTTGTGCTGGAGAAAAATATTCATTCTTTCACCATTAGGTGTGGCATTAATTGTGGTTATCTGTAGATGCTCTTTCTCATACTGAAAATGATCATTTCCCGAAAATATTGATTACTTTTATCATGAAAGTGGGTTATATATTTGCCAATGATTTATCTGTGTCTATTTAGCCTTTATTCTTTTATTTATTTATCCTTTATTCCTTGGATGTGTATTAATTTAACTAATTTTTTTGACAGGTAGAGTTAGACAGTGAGAGAGAGAGAGAGAGAGAGAGAGAGAAAGGTCTTCCTTCTGTTGGTTCACCCCCCAGTGGCCGCCATGGCCGGCGCTGCGCCAATCCGAAGCCAGGAGCCTGGTCTCCCATGCGGGTGCAGGGCCCAAGCACTTGGGCCATCCTCCACTGCACTCCCGGGCCACAGCAGAGAGCTGGACTGGAAGAGGAGCAACCGGGACAGAATCCGGTGCCCCAACCAGGACTAGAACCCAGAGTACCGGCGCTGCAGGTGGAGGATTAGCCTAGTGAGCCATGGCGCCGTCCTAATTTAACTAATTTTTATATATTAAACCAAACTTGTATTCCTGGGAAAATAACTTTGTGGTCATGGTGTATAATAATTTTTATGCGTTTTTGAATTCAGAATCTACATTCATAAGGACTATGGATCTGATGTTTTCTTTTCGTGTGATATCTTCATCTGATTTTCATATCAGCTGTTGTCCAAGTAGAATGGATTAGGAAGCAATTCATCCTTTTGTGGGCTTTTTTTTGAACTTTAGGAAGATTGGTATTTCTTCTCTACGTGTTTGGTGGAATTCACCTGTGATGCTGTCTGGGTCCAGATACATTTTTGTGAATAATTTCTGATTCCTAATTCGGTATCTTTTATTATTGTGAGTCTCGTCGTATTTTCTATATCCTCCTGAGTTGCATTATTTGAGTGTGGTGTCTTCATTCATTTTCATTCATTTGAAAATATTTCATGATTTTCCTTCAGATTTCATCTTTGATTCGCTCATTATTTAGGAGCATAAATGTGAATTTCCAACATTCTCCTTTGTCATTGATCTCTATCTCATTGTGGTAGAAGAACCTACTGTGTATGACTTCAGTCCTCTCAGATTTGGTGTAGACCCCACAGATGGTCTGTTTGGGGAATGAGTGTTCTGTGTAGGTCGGGGTGGGAATGCTCTGCATTCTCGGGTCACCTAGTCACTGTGACTCCGGTACTCCTGGCCCTTGTTGACTTCCTGCCCACTCACTGCATCCATTATTGGACATGAGGTATTCAACTACTGTTTTTCTATTTTCTTCTTTTTTCAAAAAACAGGTTTATTTGTTTGAAAGGCAGAGCTACAGAGAGAGAAAGAGAGATGAGAGAGAGAGAGAGAGAGAGAGAGAGAGATCTTCCATCTGCTGGTTCATTCCCTGAATGACCACAGTGACTGGGGATGGGCCTGGCTGAAGCCAGGAGCCAGGAGCCTCCTCCGGATTCCCCACGTGGGTGTAGGGACCCTGGTACCTGGGTCATCCTCTGCTGCTCTCCTAAGTGCATCAGCAGGGAGCTGGATTGGAAGTGCAGCAGCCAGGACTCAAACCAGCACCCGCACGGGATGCTGGCACTGCAGACCCCAGTTTAACCCCTGTGCCACAGTGCCAGCCCCCAATTTTTCTATTTTCTTTTCCTTTCTTTCATGGGATCATTACCTGTCTGGAGACTTTTGTTAGGTGTATTTGTGCTTATCATGATAAGATAGTCTTGAAAAAATGACGTGTTATCATTGTAAACTTGTTTCTAGAAAAATCATGACTTTAAATATGTTGTGTCTCGTAATTGATACAGCTATTCTAGTTCTTTTATTGCTGTGTGTCTTTTTCCATCATCTTGCTTGGAGCTTGTTTATATCTTTCTATAAGACTCACTTAAAGTGTGTATTTAAAGAGATATCATCCACTTGAATTTATTTGGTTTGTTTCATGCAGTCTGGTAATCTCTGCCTTTAGTTAGACAGTTAAATCTGCTCACATTTAATCTTCTTTCTTTCTTTCTTTCTTTCTTTGACAGGCAGAGTGGACAGTGAGAGAGAGAGACAGAGACAAAGGTCTTCCTTTGCCGTTGGTTCACCCTCCAATGGCCGCCGCGGCTGGCGTGCTGCAGCCAGCGCACCGCACTGATCCGATGGCAGGAGCCAGGTGCTTCTCCTGGTCTCCCATGGGGTGCAGGGCCCAAGGACTTGGGCCATCCTCCACTGCACTCCCGGGCCACAGCAGAGAGCTGGCCTGGAAGAGGAGCAACCGGGACAGAATCCGGCGCCCCGACCGGGACTAGAACCCGATGTGCCGGTGCCGCTAGGCGGAGGATTAGCCTAGTGAGCCGCGGCGCCGGCCCGCTCACATTTAATCTTACTGTTGATGTGTTGGATCTCTTGTTTCCTATGTCACATGGCCAAGCACTCGGGCCATCCTCTGCTGCTTCCCCAGGTGCATTAGCAGGGAGCTGGATGGGAAGTGGAGCAGCGGGGACTCGAACCGGCAGCCATACGGGATGCTGACACAGCGGGTGGAGGCTAACCTTCTGCACCACAGCGCCTCTGGAGTCATTTTGAGCGTCTCCACTGCTTTGGTCTCCATTGCTTTTGGGGAAGAGTCAGTTCTTCACACTGTTGGGTTCCCTTGTATGCGATGAGTTGTTTTTCCTGCTGTTTCCAAGATCTTTGTCTTTGGCTCTCAACATTGTGTCTACAACGCGTCTGGATTTGGATGCACTTCTTTGAGTTTTCGGACTCGGTAGTGGAAGGATGTTCATGAAATCTGAGCCGTTTTCTGCCACTGTGGCTTGAAATAGTTTGCCGTGCGCCTTTGGTTCCCCGCTGTCCTGATGCGCTTGTTTCAATCTTGCTGTGCTTAGTGACCCCGCATCTCCCATGAGGTGCCCTCAACTCTCCCCCGATCTTTGTTCTCTGGTCTGTAGTGGGTGGGATCCCTAACCACCCAACCCCAGATCTGCTGGTTTGCTTCTCTGACAGCTCATTTCAGTTCTTGAGACACTTGGTGCGTTTCTCATCCGTGCCAGGGCGCTTCTCAACGCAACGTTTCTCGGTTGGCTCGCCTTCGTCATTTCCAGCTCTTTGTAGTCCTGTTTGACAAGACGCTGTAAGCACACCAGTGTTTAATTTTTTAAGCAGTTTCTATAGCTCTTTGAACTTCCTTGTAAGAGTGATGTTGAAGTCTTTGTCTGCTAACCTCCACACTTTGGTCTCACAGAGGTCCAGGTTTTATTTATTCATGTTTGGGTGACTTTCCTGTTTCCTTGACTGTTTTACATAATGGTTTCTTTTTGCTTATTCTGAATTTTTTTTCCTGGAACAGGGACACTGCGGATAATGTAGCAACTCTGGATACCGACCTCTCTGCTGAGGCTTTTGCCGTATTTGCTTGTTTAAATCTGGGCGGGGGCTTGGCTGGACCTCTTCAGCGAGGTCCACCTCCTCTCAGTCTCCCCCGTTCATGTCTCTCCTCAAGGTGCAGCCTTGGGCACCTGCAGGGTCACCCTGGTCGTCTCCCCGCCCCGCCTGCCGTCCTGGACTCTTGGGCCACCTTTCTGTTTGATCTCCCTTTTAATTTTCTGGCTGCTCTACCTCTTTGGGTCTCACACCCAACATTTAGCCTCCACTACTGGCTGGCTGAGTGCCCTGTTGTTTTGACAATGCCCTGGCCCGCAAGCCGCTCCACCGTCTGATCCACTTAGAGCCAGGCGTCCTCGTGGGACCAGGTCTTTGAAGCTGCTCTTTGAGGTTTGCTTTGGCCCAGGATGGCTCTTGCTTAACTGTTAAGCTTTCAATTGTCTCCCAAACACTTGTTTGTATCGTGAAGCTAGGAAGGAGCTTCACCAAGATTGTGGATGAGGGAATTGAAATCTTGATTGCGTGCAAAATAATTTGAAATCCACAGATTTTTTTTTCATAATCCACAACTTTCCAGGTAATTTTAGATGTAGCCTCATCATCGTTCACAACCAAAATCGACATTGCCTGTGACGGTGCCCTTAGCCGGAGCTTCCACGAGCTCTGTTCCAAGTAAAGTTAGCCCTGCCGGGGGAAGCTACGGAGCGCCTGGTCTTCATCACCTCCCGTCTCCGCTGGGGAGAGTGGCTGTGATGCAGCTCCCGGGCAGGAAGTAGAGGCAGAGGCCTAATTCTCTGGGAGTGACACCTGGGACTCAGGAGTGGGCGCTGAGCAGGACTGATTGGAGCTCCCGCCTGGCTCCTGGCAGAGACTCGCCACCCTACACGTGAGGACAAGGGGGGCTGGGGGGACCAGGGTGGCCCCAGGGACTGCGGCCACGCACGTAGGAAACTGGACTTCAGCGATGAGAACTGCGGGGGGAGTAAAAGAAGGATGGCGGCGGCTTACCTGCCCTGGGAGAAACTGGAGTTCCCGTGATGGGGGGATCCAGGCAGGGAGTTATACAGGGATGGACGGGAGCATTCTAGATATCGGCTGCTTATAAATGAAGCAGGCAACATGGTCCATTTTTTAGCATGTATTCAGTGAGAGAAATGCACAGGAATGTGAGGGCTTTATTTAGGGGAGAAGGAAGTCTAGAACCTCAGCTGGGTCCACAGCAGGCAGAGAGCAGGCTGGGAGCCACCTGGAGAAAGAGCACAGGTAGGAAAGTGGAGACAGAGTGGAGGCCAAAAGGGAGGGGCCCGCCCGGCTGCAGGCCTTCTAGTCACTTCCAATGGGGCGTGGTTACGTAGTCTGATTGGCAGCTGGGTGTACAGGTGAGGTCATGAAAGGGGGCAGGACAAACTGGTCTCCAGTTCACAAATCTAAACGATTGAACCCGATCTCTCTGCCTATATCAGAAGGTGGCCCTGAGGGAGTTAAACTCCCATGGGGACAGCGGGAAAATCACAGGTCCTTCCACCCACAAAACCCCACCCGAGCAGCTCACTAGGCTAATCCTCTGCCTAGCGGCGCCGGCACACCAGGTTCTAGTCCCAGTCAGGGCGCTGGATTCCGGTTGCCCCTCTTCCAGGCCCGCTCTCTGCTGTGGCCCGGGAGTGCGGTGGAGGATGGCCCAAGTGCTTGGGCCCTGCACCCCATGGGAGCCCAGGAGAAGCACCTGGCTCCTGGCTTCGGATCAGCGTGGTGCACTGGCCACGGCGGCCATTGCGGGGTGAACCAACAGCAAATGAAGACCTTTCTCTCTGTCTCTCTCTCTCACTGTCTACTCTGCCTGTCAAAAAACAAACAAACAATCAAACACACCCCACCCGGGCTCCACTGCATCTGCACAGGCAGTTAGGGGACCGCCCGTCTCCTAAGAGACTGAAAACACAGGGAGGCCCTTCTTTGCTGCTGACCAGGCTTGGGGACGCTTCTGGGCCCTCCTCCCCGACTCCCCCTCCCTTGGGGCAGCTCTTGGGGCCACTCAGGGCAGGGAGGGGCCACACTCGGTGTGGCCACACTCACAGGAGAGTGGGCATCGGCCTCTCTCCTCTACACACACCCTGCTCCCCCTGTGCCCTGTGCCCAAGCCTCTGCCAGTGCCTGGCACACAACCAAAGGTGCTTAGGCCCAGGACACCGGGCTGGGGGCTGGGGGCTGGGGGGTGGGGGGTGGGGGCTGGGGACTGGGAAGCCGGGGCCTCCCTGGCCCAGAGTGCGGCTTCCTCCCTCCCGAGGTGGACGTGGGCTCGGGAGGGAGCGAGTCCCGGTGCGGACGCCGTGGACTCAGTGCCCCACTGCGACCTGGTGAGCTCTGGAGTCCTGTTTCTCACTTGCTGCACACGCTGCAGGCGCCTTCCAGACGCGGGGCTTGCTCATTCGCCCGAGCGTTGCCTGTCAGCTGCAGGGAGTCCACTGAGCTCAGGGAGCGCCTCAGGCCGTGCTGCTTCCTGCATTTGTTTGTTTTTTGGAAATTTTTGTAAATTTGTATTTTATGTGTTACATTTTGCTATTTTCTTTTATTTATTTTTGTTATATTTTGTTGTTTGGTTGCTTGTTATTTTTATTTAGTTTCTTTTTTTTTTCATTTTTGCTCAAATCCAGCACACCTATGTTATGGGCTGGATTGGGCCTAAATCAGTTTTCCAGATTCTTGCCTTTTACTTACAGAAGAATTCTGAATACAGACCCAAACAAGGCATGTGGTGCCATAAACTTTATTTACAAAGTGAGAAAGATACACAGGCTCATTAGGGCTTTATGAAGGGAGAGTGGGGCCCAAGGAAGGGAATTCTCATACCCTGCTCTGCTCCTCCCGTCCCGGGTAAGAGAAGGGACTTCCTGTGGAGGGACAGGTGATTGACAGGCAGGTGAACATGGCCACACAGAGCAAAGGGGGTGGGGCTTCCAGCTCATGAACTTAGAATATCTATCTAAGCTTTCACACGTCACTTAATACATAGGATTGCATAGTTTATGTTGGTTACCACAAAAACAGTGTCTCCATTCCCATTTTTCTTCTCTCTAGAGAAAACCACTTTCATCTCTTTAACCGACCTTTTTTTTTTTAATTTATTTATTTGAGAGGTAGAGTTACAGAGAGAGAGGAAGAGACGGAGAGAAAGGTCTTTCCGTCCGCTGGGGAGCCAGGATGATCTGAAGCCAGGAGCCAGGAGCTTCTTCCAGGTCTCCCACGTGGGTGCAGGGGCCCAGCACTTGGGCCACCTTCTACTGCTTTCCCAGGCCACAGCAGAGAGCTGGATGGGAAGTGAAGCACCTGGGACTCGAACCAGCACCCCTATGGGATGCCGGCACTGCAGGCTGCGGCTTTACCTGCTACGCCACAGCGCCGGCCCCTGTGGGTTTTTTCCTATCTGTTGTTCTGTGTGTTTGCTCGGCTGTAGCTTTCTTTGTACCTGTTGTTCTGTGCGTTTGGTGGGCTCCCTCAGCCCGGAAGATCACGGCTCTGGGTCAGAGAAAGTTCCTCGGGTTCTTCCTTGGCTGTGTGTCTCCCCGCATGCGGCTCCCTGCCTTTTCCTGCAGCTCCTGCCGAGGCATGGAGGATCAGGCTCCCGGGAACGGTGCCCCACGCTTCTGGAATGTCCATCCCGCCTGCGTTCCTTCTTTGCGTGTTTGCCTTATTTCCTGGATCATCTCTGCTCTCCCTTCCACCGGAGCTGTAAATTCTACTCTCCTGTTCTTAATTTCTAGGAACTTGACTTTTGAATGTTCCTTTAAAAAAATGATGACTTCTTTTTTGTAATAGATGCGGTATGTTTGATCTTGTCTCTCTGAGAATAGCAATCGTCTAAGGCTGATAAGAGTAACCCTTATTTGCTGTTCCTTTGTTCTCATAACAGATGAATTTGTAGGGAAAATTTATTTATGAAGAACACAACGTTACCCATTAGTGTCATGGTAATGCGCCATTGCTATGTTGATTTAAACATTACCCATAGGAATAGATGGGATAATGGCTGATAAATGTGAAATTTGCAATGCCTAATTACTTTTTATTCATGTCACTTGGGTGGACAAATAGGAAATAAACCTGATCCTATGGCGACTGGCTCACACCTGCTGAATCGGAGCAGAGCCGTCGACCGGGCTCTGGCCAGGCGTCCCATCTGCCTCACGGTGAGTAGCAGAAATGGATGTTCCGACCACATCTCACCGCTCCTGGCCTTTGTGGCTAAAATGCCTGGCCTGGCACAGGGTGTTGGGGCCATCTTTCACTGCTTTCCCAGGCCATAGCAGAGAGCTGGATCAGAAGTGGAGCATCTGGGACTCGAACCAGCGTCTGGCTCGTTTTCCTGAGCGCTGATGATCTCATAAAGTCTGGAGAAGGGAGCTTGACACTCGGTTCTATCCCTCGGCTGGGGCAGTGAGGCCTTGCACACACCTGCCTGCAGCTCTCTCTCCAAGGCCACAGAGGTGGAGAGGCAGCGTTTGCTATCCAGCGCCACTTCCTCCTCTGCTGGCTGATGGTAGGAACGCCCCAGCCGAACAGATGGTTGGGTGTAGGGCTCCGGGTGGCAGATGTGAACATTAGCAAATGAAACGCACTTGTCCTTTGGGGAGCTGGCTCCGAGGGCGGCTTTCCAGCCTCTGGACGCCCGGGTGTGCGGTGACTCAGAACCAGCGCCTCGAGGGAGGGGAAGGTTTTCCAATCAGTGCCTTCCACCCTCAGGGCAAGGATGAGAGTTAACTAACTGGAAGAAACAGCCTTTCAAGCCTAAAAGCTCACTTTCTTGGCTTTGGACTGAAGGGGGGCCGGGTGCTGGTGGCCAGAGATGATTCTCACTTGTACTGTGCGGGTTGGGAAACACAAACGCACATTTCAGAGTAGGAAAGGAGAGGCAATTTCCCGTGCTCTGTCGGCTCTGTCGGCTCTGTCGGCTCTGTCGGTTCTGTTCGGCATATTGAGCCAAATGTACCGATATCGCCCTGTAGGCCTCCACAGTTACCCAAGCTTCACACTCCGCTGGGGTTCCTCGCTGTTGGGAGGGACCAGAGAAGCTTAAACGGGGACTGGGTGTTTCACCTAGTGGTTAAGGTGCTCTTAGAAGGCCCAGGCCCCCTTGCTGGCGCCGCAGCTCACTAGGCTAATCCTCCGCCTTGTGGCACCAGCACACGAGGTTCTAGTCCTGGTCGGGGCACTGGATTCTGTCCCGGTTGCCCCTCTTCCAGGCCAGCTCTCTGCTGTGGCCAGGGAGTGCAGTGGAGGATGGCCCAAGTGCTTGGGCCCTGCACGCGCATGGGAGACCAGGAGAAGCACCTGGCTCCTGCCATCGGATGGGCGCAGCACCAGTCATGGTGGCCATTTGGGGGGTGAACCAACAGAAAAAGGAAGACCTTTCTCTCTGTCTCTCTCTCTCACTGTCTAACTCTGCCTGTCAAAAAGAAGAAGAAGAAGGAGGAGGAGGAGGAGGGGTGGGGGAGGGGGAGGAGGAGACCGAGAATAGCTAAAGCAATCCTTTACAATAAAAACAAAGCTGGAGGCATCACAATTCCAGACTTCAAGACATACTACAGGGCAGTTATAATCAAAAGCAGCCTGGTACTGGTACAAAAACAGATGGATAGACCAACGGAACAGAATAGAAACACCGGAGATCAATCCAAACATCTATAACCAACTCATATTCGACAAAGGACCTAAAACCAACCCCTGGAACAAGGACAGCCTCTTCAACAAATGGTGCTGGGAAAACTGGATGTCAGCATGTCGCAGTATGAAGCAAGACCCCTACCTTACACCTTATACAAAAATCCGCTCAACATGGATCAAAGAACTAGAGATGTGCCACGACACCATGAAACTAATTGAGAGCAAAGGGGAAACCCTCCAAGATATTGGAACAGGTGAAGAATTCCTGGAGAAGACCCCACAGGCACGGGTAATCAAATATAAAATAAACAAATGGGATTACCTCAAATTGAAAAGTTTCTTTACAGCAAAGGAAACAGTCAGGAAAGTGAAGAGGCAACCAACAGAACGGGAGACGTTATTCGCAAACTACACAACAGATAAAGGATTAACAACTAGAATCTGTAAAATGATCAAGAAACACCACAGAATCAAAACAAACAACCCACTTAAGAGATGGGCCAAGGACCCTAACAGACATTTTTCAAAAGAGGAAATCCAAAGGGCCAACAGACACATGAAAAAATGCTCAGGATCCCTAGCCATCAGGGAAATGCAGATCAAAACCACAATGAGGTTCCACCTCACTCCGGTTAGAATGGCTCACATGCAGAAATCTACCAACAACAGATGCTGGCGAGGATGTGGGGGAAAAGGGACACTAACCCACTGTTGGTGGGAATGCAAACTGGTCAAGCCACTATGGAAGTCAGTCTGGAGATTCCTCAGAAACCTGAATATAACCCTACCATTCAACCCAGCCATCCCACTCCTTGGAATTTACTCAAATGGAATTAAATGAAAAAAAAAAAAAGAGCTGTTTGCACATTAATGTTTATTGCAGCTCAATTCACAATAGCTAAGACCTGGAACCAACCTACATGCCCATCAACGGATGACTGGATAAAGAAATTATGGGATATGCACTCTATGGAATACTATACAGCAGTAAAAAAAATGAAACCCAGTCATTTGCAACAAAATGGAGGAATCTGGAAAATACCATGCTGCGTGAAATAAGCCAGTCCAAAAGGGACAAATATCACATGTTCTCCCTGATCGATGACAACTAACCGAGCACCTAAAAGGAAACCCGTTGAAGTGAAATGGACACTATCAGAGACAATAACATGATCAGCCCTTGTCTAGACTGTTGAGGAAAAACTTATTCCCTTTAGTATTTTGTTGTTGTTGTTGCTTGGTTTGTTCTACTTAACACCACTGGTTGAACTCTGTAATTAATACACAATTATTCTTAGGCATTTAAAATTAACAGAAAAGTGATCTCTGTTAAATATAGGAGTGGGAATAAGAGAGGGAGGAGACATACAGGTCAGCACAGGCTCACTCGGACTCACCTCCAATGGTAGAGCTAGAAATGTGCCAGGGGATTTCAACCCAATCTTACCAAGGAGGCTGTACCAATGCCAGCTCACTTGGTAAAGTGATCAGTTTAAGGACATAATTGATCAAAAGGATAGGGTAAGTGTCGAAGAGATTTTACAAACAAGACCAGTGTAAGCAAATAATGAAGGATAGAATTAAAAGGGAGAGAATGATCCTGTGGGGGAAGCGGGACACACAGCAGACTCATAGAATGGCAAATGCCCCAAACAGCACTCCTGACTCAGAATCAACCCTTGGGACATTCGGATCTGACTAAAAGGTCCATGAGAGTCTCACAGGCATGGAAAGCCATGACATGGTGGCAAAAACTACCTGAATGAAAGATCCTGGTGAACAAGACCCCAGCAGAAGGAACAGGCCATCAAGGAGAGAGGCGCCTTTCTCTGAAGGGAGGAAGGAACCTCCGCTGTGATACGGCCTTGACTAAACAAGTTCAGAGTCGGTGAACTCAAGGGGCTTCCATAGCCCTGACAGCTCATGGCAAGAGCCTCGGGTGATTGCTGACGTCATAAATAAGAGTGCCAATTGTTAAATCAACAATGGGAGTTACTGGGCACATGCTCCCCACGCAGGATCTCTGTCCTTAAGGTGTTTTACTATGAGAGTTAACGATAACACTACTAGTCGAACAATCCCCTATACCTTGTGTGGTTGTGTGAGTACAGTCTGTTGAAACCTTTGTTTAGTATATACTAAGTTGATCTTCTGTATATAAAGATAATTGAAAATGAATCTTGATGAAGAGTGGGATGGGAGAGGGAGTGGGAGATGGGAGGGCTGCAGGAGGGAGGGAGGTTGAGGGGGTGAAGCCACAACAATGCAAAAGTTGCACTTTGTAAATTCACATTTATTAAGTAAAAAAAGAAAAGAAAAAAGTAAATGTAACATAATATGAAAAAAAATTTTAAAAGGTAAAAAAAAAAAACTTGTAAAAAGTCTATACAAGTTAGACCATACAAGTAACTATACAGAGTAAAACATTCAGATTATTTGGGGTTTGTGCTTATTTTTATGACTTTATACTTACAAATAACATTTAATAAATATTGATTAGTTGAGGTGGCCGTAGGACAACAGCGCTTGGCCACGGTCATTCATGAAACACACACAAAGACCGCAAGTCTCCTCTCAGGGTGAGTTTTCCCTTTCCTGCCTGCTCAACGTGTGTTCATTTCAAGGGAGCGCCTGCCTTGTCCCACGATGCGCACTCTGTAGGGTTTCTTTCTTTTGCAGCAGCTTCAGTGTGAATAATAACATCTTGGAAACTTCATGAGCAATGCTCTGTCTCCCAGCTTGTAAAGGGTGTGCATCGCTGGCCAGTGTGGTTGTCTACACGGACAGAAACGTGCTGTGTCCACATGGGCCAGTGTGCGACCACTAGCCACGCGTGGCTACTGTGTACTGGAAATACCAGCGATACCACTGAGGAATGAGTTTCATTCCCGTTAATTCACCTTTAAATGTACACGACACTTGTGGCTACCAGCTGGCCCCGTGCGCACTGCAGGCGTGTGTGCAATGCCCTCTTAAGTTCGTTGGTTTATTTTATGCGAATGCCTCTAACTGAAAAAGTATAGCTGCTCATGGTAAAGTAAGAGTGGTAGAAAACCATGTGCCTGAAAATACTATTTCATGAAATTATTTATTTCTCCCATTTCTCATTTCAGTCCTCATCTTGAGATACAACTGCAGTTTCTTACAGATCTCTCCAAGAGTTGTCTGTGCAAGTACGAATATAAACACACAAATGTAGGCACATCTCTTTTTAATTTCTTTATTTAAGAAGCTGAGAGAGAGAGAGCTCCTCTCTGCTGGTTCACGCCCCAAAAGCGCAGATTGAAACTGGGATCAGGAACGCACTCCAGGTCTCTATGGGGGTAGAGACTCGAGTCCTTGAGCCTGAGCACGGCCTGCCAGGGTGCTTATCAGCAGGAAGCTAGAACTGGGGGTGGAGCTGGCACTCAGTCCCGGGAACTGCAATACAGGACACAGATGTCTTCCCCAGGGTCTCAGACGCTGCACCAATCCCACCCCTGCACCCCTCATGTACGTGGGAACGGTCGGCATCCACATTTTCCCT